AGGCACAACCAAACACGAGCCCTGAGCTGTGTGAGTTCATCCTCAGAAAGGATTTTGTGGAAGACCAGCCCCAATAGCTGCATTTCTGCGGCCATTCAATCACCCAGGTGGGGGCCTGTGATACGTTCACCAGGCTCAGGAAGCTTCGCCAGAGCTTCCTGTGGACTGTGTAGAGCCCTTTTAGGTGACGGTCGTAGTGGGACTCGTCCCTGGCTCTGTGCAGGTGTTGCCACGGGGAACCTCCCGTGCATGGAGTGCTTGCCCATATGATGACATGCATTCTCTTTCTGCCTGCGTGGCGAAGCGCACTCTGTAGCACGCGCACAGTCTCTGGGTGAGCTCCATCGACTTCGATGGTGACCGGTATGGCCAAGATTCCATATGAATCGCTGAGACGACTCAACCAAGCACCGACAGAAGTGCAAAGCTCAATAAGTAAAATCATGTGTTGCGTATCAAGCTTGCACTGACCAACAAACGACTGCCAAGGCTCGACGGAAAACTCAGGCGCTGGAGCTAAGAAGCTTTTAAGTGCTACCAAGAGCAATGACGACTCGACAAAGGAATAGTTTATAAAAGTATTTCGACTGTCCCTTTGCTCGAAGCCAAGAAACTCTATGAACCTCCATGTCTGCTTTGCTGAAAGATTTTTGGTCATAAGGTCTGAGACATTGTCAGACCCAGGTACCTGGCAAGGCTCAATTTCATTGCTCTCTACTTTGTTCTGGATGTAGCACAGCCTGATATCAACATGACGAAGCCTGCGTAAAAAACCAGTCATCTGCGAAACCTGTCGTGCTGAAGAACTGTCGGTATAAGTGGGGATAGGATAGCGTACCTCATCGAAAATGTGCGAGAACAGTTGGCCAAGGCCTAGAAGCTCTTTAGCCATTTCGGTCAGAGCAAATAGCTCACTCTCCGCACTGGATAAGGCAACTATAGGTTGGAGACGAGAATAGCACTTTACTACGTTGTTGTTCAAATAGATGACTCCACCGCTGGTCGACTTACGACCCGTGCTTCTCTCACTGGCCCAGTTCGCATCCGAGTATCCGCTCAAGCAAGCACACCCCATGGGAACGCTCTCGTCCTTCCGAAAAACTTGCGTGAGATCTGGGCACTCCAACAGCCATCTCAACACGCGTCGCATGGCGTCTTCATGGACAGCGCGGGGACACGCCTGGCCTCTTGAGAGAAGCGAGTGGTAGTAACACAGGTCACCACGTGTCTGGACCAACCATCCTAGTTTACCAAGCGTGGATCTAAACTTGGATGCGGCTTCAGGAGTAAGTTCTGGCGAAGGCTTCTCTGGAGATTCATTGTCATAGATTGAACGGATGTCAGGAGGTACAGAGGTTGGACGCATTTTCTTTCTGGCCTCGACACCCCAGCCGAAGGATTCAAAAATGGAGTTGATGTATTCTCTTTTGACGGCAAGGAGAATCTCGTTTCCCCTTTTGAGGATTTCTCTACCGAGAAAGACAATTCTTCCATCTTCACCCAACCTGCCAGTCAGTTTAACTTTGAGACGCTCCTTCAAGAAGTCTAAGAGCTTTTGACTCGCCTCCTTGTTGCTCGTAGCCAATAAAATATCATCTACGTATACTAAACACAACACCAAAATGTCCCCCCAGTAGCCCTTGTACAGTGTAGGCTCAATCAACGAAGGAAATAAGCCTAGCTCAGCCAACAAGGACGCCAAGTGCTTCTGCCATGACAAACCAGCCGACCTAAGGCCATAAATGGCCTTGTCTAAGATCATGTAGACTGTGCTTCCGTCCAAGTGCTGGAAGCACGAGGGGAGCTCCAAGACTGTTGCCATGACCAGCTTCGCATATAGGAATGCGGTAGACACATCCAGTCCCCACAACACCAAGGTGTCCTGCACAACTCTGCAGAGGAAGCCCCTGAATGCCTCTATGCTTGCCGTCTGAGAAGCTATTCCCAGGTCCAACGCACTTGGCTGATGGAAGGCAAACTCCTTGGCGACTAAGCGCGCCCTTACAATCTTGGACTCGTCTACATCGGCTTTGTCCGTGAACACGAAACGGGATTTTACCACTTTAGCGCCAGTCTCGGCGCAGTAGTCTTTGGCTTCCTCGTATGTGCACGGGCGACCAACCTCTAGATCTGACATGGCGGCAGCTTCCTTAAGCATGCCTTTCCATGTGAGGTCCGGGTCGAGTGGGAGCCCGGTAAGGTCGTCTACGACCGAAGAGGGCTTTGAAAGCCACACTTGCCGATCCAGTATCTGGATGATCTCACCGGCTGAAGGGTCCTCGTACTTAGCTGGTGTCTGTTTACGCACTTGACCGACAAAAGAAAAGAAATCTTCCGAATCGACAGCCTGCATAACTGTCGCCTGGTAGCCTGCTAGATCGTAGAACTGCTCCCCCACGGTATCAACTGTGGGCGCCAACAGGCAGTTGAGCATCCTGGGTGCAACCTCAGCATCCCCTTCGTCTACGTCTATTGGATCATAAACGTCATGTTCGACATGACCAGGGCTACCACCCGGCAGGTAATCCGGATCACTGCGAAGCTCATCCGGTTGTTGGCCCTCGTCAGGGAGACCTGGCTCGCTTGGCTCATGCTCCCGAAGATCACCAAGATCTTGATCACTCAGCCCTGGGAGCGAGTTTGGGTCATACTCTCTGACCTCGTCCTCGCCAAAGCGAACCCTCTTGGACTCCCTGCCGTTCTCACCACTTCCATCGGCGTGAGGGTGTTTGTCGCTTTGCGGTGCTTCGTCACCACCCTCAAGAGCATCTCTCAGGTACCTAGCGTACCTGTTTTTACACCTTCTGGAGTGGAACGGAGA